TATATTGAAATTCGATTTTTCGATAAATATCTAAAATGGTTCGAAAACTCGGTAAAACAATCATAACTTGCGTCAAAAGCCAATGGAAACAAATTCATTTAGATATTTGCCGCAGTCATCGACACCTCCTTGAAGGTTCAATATGAAATCAAATGGCAAATGTCATTTCAAATACTTACTTCGTTAACAGTGTCAAAATAATAGGTTTTGAAGGACGTTTTATTCTATTTTCTTTAACATTGTATCTTTTCATGTAGTTTTATCAAAATACTCACTGTTCTGTTGTTCTTCTTATATGCAGATAAATCGATTTCAATCAACTTGATTATTATCAACAATGATGGTTTTCTTCATATCATTTCGACTAAATTGTTCAAGTGTTTTGTTGTACTTAATTGATTTTTTTATCTAAATCGATCAATATTATTTTCTTCTTCTCGAAGACAACGGATTTCTTTTGTAATTGATTCAAATTATTTTGTCATTGCTGTTCGTTGTTTATCAATTAGCTTGATAAGTTCATGATGAGCTTTTTCTGCTACGATTTATTGCAGATCGAGCATACATTTGATTCATTTACTGTTGCTATTTTTTCTTAGAAGAAAACTATTCGAATTATGTAATTTATTATGTTAATATCTCAATCTGAAATGAATTCATATGAATACTTATAAAAAAAAAAAAAAAAAAACAATAATTTAATCAATATTCTTTTTTTTTGCATTTTGAATTGAATCTTGTTCAATCGTTTCAAATATGATTTCATCTGTGTACAATAAAAACAGAAAGAAGATTTTACACATATTAATCTTTAGTGGATTCTTATACTTTAACGTATCTAAGTTGAAAAGAAAGAGTTTTTCTCTCTAGGTCAAATATTCGAAAGTTTTGTCTACAGTTTTAAAACAGTTCGATCATAATGATAATGCAGTCAATTTGAAGTGTTGAGAGTTTTGCGCATTGTTTCAATGTAAAATTTGATATTTTTATCTTGTTTTATTTGCCTTAAAGATAACAAAAGTTGTGAGTAAATAATCGACAAGAGATAATCTAGATGAAATCAATCTTCTTTATTAGATAGAGAATGATGATTTTTACTTTCAAAATATTCATTCATTTCTATCGTTAAAACAAGAAAAATTATGAAAATACCAGATGAATTTTCACTATCAGGTTTTGTTAAGGGGAAATTTTTTCATACTCAATGATCAATTTGTTCGTATTTTTTTTTTTTTATCTTTCTTCGAAGAATATTATTTCGATATTGACAATGTGTAATTGAGATGACTATGATCGAATGATTTGATCAGTATTCGGAACAGTTGCAGAATGCTTTGAAGATGGATTCTATGAAGATTTTCAACTAAATTCGATTGACCAACTATTTTGAGATAAGTGAAGAAAAGAAGCAGAATTTTGTTTTGGTCTTTAAAATATGAATGTGTGAGAATGAATTTTCTGCTTTTCTTACGAATGTAGACTATTGTTCATGTAGTTGATCCACTCAATTACGATGAATATTTCAGAATACTGATTGAAGATATACAAGAAATTCAGATTTGATCAAGTTTGTTGTTTTCTTTGAGAAAAAAAAAAGGTGAAAGTCTTCTAAAATTTCACGTAAAACTGTTTGATATGTAATTGAAGATATGAAAAATATTTATTACTTACGATAGTTCAATGAAAAAACTGTGAGAAACAACTATAAATATTTGAACTATAATCGAAGTTTTTTCTGAATGAGCCAGACAGAATATTTATTGAACATCACATAGAAACTTTTCTCACACATATTCGATTCTATTGTGAACAAATGAATCAATATTGATTTAACTTCAGTGAAGCTATCTACAGGTTTTCTCGAATTCATTATATTTTGTTTGAATTGTTTATAAATTTTTTTTTTTTCTAACGATTGAAATACTGTTTCAAGAAATGTCAAAGATGTTAATCAATTTGAGTATTTACTATTGTTTTTTGATAAATGTTAGTCAACAGATGCGACTTAATTAAATTAAGTATTAATTAGCTTTACTTAATATTTAATATTAATAGAAAAAGATCACTGATCACTAATTAATTTCTTAATATTATGTGTTAGCAAATCACTTAATAGTTTATTTACTTATTTCGAGTCTTTCTATGCCAAAGAGCCAATGTTAACTCTTTGATCAATTTAGAACAAAGTATGTTTTTTTTAAATGACAATAATGAACAAAAACCTTGGTCAAACCTGATTGATTAAAATGAAAAGTCTCCTGGATAATGAGATTTAAGCAGAGGCTCTCTCTCCTACTGTCAGTAGAAAACATTTTTGTTGTCTGGATGATCAAGAGATGTTCAAGATTCCACTCTGAAATTGATTGAACAACATCATACGAAGTGCTTATTATTCAAATCTAAGCTTAAGTAAATAAAATTATCAGTAGAAAACGTTAAACTTAATATTAGATATTAAGAAATTCATTTGTAAATTTTGATATATTTTCCCAATCTTAATGGTTAAGTATCAAAATTTAATTTTAATTTAAGGCAAATGGTTCATTGATACAACAGACGATGAGCGACTTCAATAGATTCAACTACCTTTACATAAAAATTTTCCGGCGACTGTCTTCCTGAAATTACAATCATTATTTCAGAGGAATCGGTGTAATAGAGCTGCTATGATAGTGATAGAACTTATAAGATATTTTCACGAGTATAATCAGTGCATAAAATTCTCTATTTCTTTCCTCTGTCTAAATCATTATTCATTTTATTTTCAGAATGGAAAATTATGATGTGAAGTATTTTGATTAGTAATCTTTGATCCGAAGAACGACTAATGACAACATTTTCCAAATAAAAACATTCAGATAGAGTCGACAAATTTCTGGTATTTCGTACGGTGCTCAATGGATTATTCCTTGATAAACATGTTTGAATTAGAGCCAAGAAGAGGAATAATATTAAGAGTGTAGGTGTAAATGTAAGTCCATATGCATGAAAGACACCATTCCACACCCTTGCTCGTAAAACGTTATATTCAGACATGAATATTAAAAATAACATTTTTCATAACATGATAAATAATTTCATGTATTGCTTACATTCTACTCTATCCATGCCTATATTTAAATAAAAGGGTAGGTTATCATTTCCCCTAAATTATGGTTTCCTGAATCGGTCCCTAAATCAGATCCACATTTGTGGGCAATTAAACAATTGAGATCAATCTGGTGACCAAATAGGGACTTTCATTTAGGGTCTTTTCAATTTAGGGACTTTTTTATAACATATATCATACGTACTCTAGTTCAATATTTTTACATTCCAATGCAACTTAGCGTAAAGTAGAAGAATCTGTTTGCAAATAAAGGTGAAAACCATTAACAACGAGTTTTCCAGTAAATCTGATGACCAGAATGTATTTTGGACTGCTGATTGAGATAAGCTAAAATTTTTGCAATTAGTTGGCAGAAGTAGAATAATCACTAAGTTCTTCGAACTTTCACCCGCTACTTCAATCACCAAAAGTATGCCCAATATGCGTATGCTTTTATATTCTGGTCACCAGAAGCATGTTCACTATGCTTAGGCTTTTCATACTTTGGCTACCAGGAATAAGACCATATACTTAGACTTTTTATATTCTAGTCTCCAGAAGTATATCCAGTATTCTTAAACTGTTTATATTTTAGTTACCAGAGTTTTAAGTCTAAATTTATTGTACATACTTCTGGTGACCAGAATACAAAAAGACTAAGCATACTGAAGATAGTTCTGGTGACCAGAATATAAAAGCATAAGCATATTGGGTATACTTTTGGTGATTGAAGTAGCGGGTGAAAGTTCGAAGAACTTAGTGATTATTCTACTTCTGCAAACTAATTGCAAAAATTTTAGCTTATCTCAATCAGCAGTCCAAAATGCATTCTGGTCATCAGATTTACTGGAAAACTTGTTGTTAATGGTTTTCACCTTTATTTGCAAACAGGTTCTTCTACTTTACGCTAAGTTGCATCGGAATGTAAAAATACTGAACTAGAGTACGTATGGTATATGCTATAAAAAAAAGTCCCTAAATTGAAAAGACCCTAAATGAAAGTCTCTATTTGGTCACCAGATTGATCTCAATTGTTTAATTGTCCACAAATGTAGATCTGATTTAGGGACCGATTCAGGAAACCACAATTTAGGGGAAATGATAGCCATTCAAATAAGAGAATAGACTATGATACCGAAGTATCTTGGTGCGATTTCATAACTAACGAGAGAATCTCTTTAGATATCCGTTTCAATTTCAATGATATTTTTTTTCCCTATAGATACTACAGTGTTCTCATAAATACGTTTCCGAAAATCTCATATCTTTGACTAGATACTATTCAAAAGTATTGAACAATCCATACCTCAAAGAGATTTTATTTTAAATATCTAAATTTTTTTTAATTCCAGCTATTCTAGCTGAATTCTCTGTATGCGCAAAGTTTCAGATCAAAATTCTTTATTTCAAAAGTGGCTTGCTCTCAATTAAACCGGTTATAAATCTTCATCAGTAGACTATTAGCTCGAATTTTTTTAAAGCTTTTCTTGATCTCATTGAGATCTTCTCATAACTATAATATGAAGTCGAACAGCATTCAACAGTTAGCCATACTGTTCCGTTATCAATGTCAAGTAGACTGTAATACCAGTTCTAATTAATATTGCACTTTACAATGTTTTGTATAATAAACAGAAAAGATCATTTAGTTGAAATAACCTATTTTACTATTAATATATATTTTAACAGATATAATCATTTGACAAGAAAAGAAAAAAGGAACTACATAGCATTCATTAGAGAGAACAAACAAAAAGTCTACATCTGACAAACAAAAAAAAAATAATAAACACAGAAAAAAGGAAAGATATATATGTATTTGATCTATCACATATTAATACCAACCTAAAACCGAAAAAAAAAAAAATGAAGTTACATTAAGAATAACAAATATTCTATTAAACTTACATGATCAAACTTCGACAGCTGTGTTACCATTAACCATAATATTTTCTGTTTCTTTTGAGTCAATAATAGGTGTATCAGTTGATTCACTTATTTTAATTTTTTTTGTTTGATCACCAGTTCGTTCTTCACTATCATTAGTTCCATCTGGTTTATCATCTTCTTGTTCAAGTTCACGTTTTTTACTTATTGTATTATCTGTACCATTTGTTAAAACTATTGATTCTTCTTTTTCACTTTCATTTACTTCTTTTAATGGTACATTTGTTCGATTTGGTGAAACACTTGCTGTTGATGCAGATGGATTTGTATCAGTAGCATTTTCTTGTTCATCAGTTGGTATCATTTTGTCTTCTTCTGTTGGTGGTGATAGTAATACAACTTTTTCTTCCTTATTTTCTAACATTGGTGTTGCTTCTTCAGTTGTTGTTACTGGTGGTTCTTCATTTGTCTGTTGTTCATCGTTTGTTTTTGTTGTATCTTCAGTTACCACTGGTTCGTCATTGGTTGTTGGTGTATCTTCGGACGTCGATGGTTCAACATCAGATTTCGATGTATGTTCACTTACTGGCTGTTCATCAATGGTCTTTGATGTTTCTTCAGTTACTTGTTCAACAACTGGTGTTGTTTCATCTTGTTGTACGGATACATCAGTATTTTCCATGATTAAGTTTTTCTTAGTGATAAGAGTATAATGTACTTGTTGCGACTAGTCCGATGATATGATGTAGAATGAATATGCACCTAAATAAAATAAGAGAAATATATGATGATACTGACGGACGGATAGGATAGACAAGGGATTATTGTTATATATAAGAGCACAAAGAATAGATGATTGAAATTTTATACAAAAACCAAAAAAAAAAAAAAAAAACTATTCTTTATGAGATTTTATTAAAAATATTTAAATATTAAATTTAATAAAATTAATATTAATGAAAAAATATATAAGAGAATAATTATTGATTGGTAGTTATATATAAACCAATAGAAAAGAATCGTAATGATATTGTATAAAAATGTCCGTCAGTATATGTGCTTCTTTGTGTATATTAAAATAAAGAAAAAAAAAAGAAATTATGTCAACTGATGAAGATATTCCGGCCGTTTCGGATGTTGAAAATGCAAAAATATCTGATGGTACAAGTACAGCTGGTGAACATAATACAGATAAAGTAAATGAAGCTGAAAGTGAAACTGAAGTTGAAGAACAAATAAATGAAAAATCAACAATCGAAGAAGAAAATCAACCGAATGATGAAATAAAAAAAGAAAATAATAAACGTGATATTAATGAAATTGATAAAAATGGTTCAAAAGAAGAACAAGATGAAACAATCGAATCTATGCCAACAAATAAAAAAATAAAAATTATTGACTCAACAACAGATGAAAATGATGAAACAGATTCCGAATTACCTAAAGAACAATTAACTGTTGTTTAATTTTAATGTATATTTTTTCTCACATAAATAAAAAAAAAAAATTAAGAAAAATTATTATGTGTTTCTTCATAATCTATTCCATGATTGTATTTTTTCTTTTTTTGCGTTATATATTGTACTTATGTATAAATAATAGATTGTGTTTTTTTTTTAGATTATTAAAATATGTCAACAACAACAACAGCATCAAATCTTTTTGAAATAAAGTAAGTTTAACTTTCAAAAAAATTAGAATTCTTTCTTTGAGATTAAAACAGAAACAAACTTGAAATTGAAATCCTATATTTCAACTGATATTATTGCACTCGAATGATATGATTATCTGTCTTGGTATTTAACGAAAATAAATATTGTGAAGTGAATATTTTTCTAATTTCACAGCACATTGGATCTGCATAAAGAATCAGAAGAGATGAATATTCAAGGAGAAAAGTTTTAAATAAGAATTTCTATTGGGCCCACTAATGATGGTTGTCATACTTGATTCGATTGGTCTATTTTGAAAAAGCTTAAAATCACCTCTCAGATATTGTCTAACATATATTCTAAAAGATTTTTAGTTCGATCAGAGAAAGTTGTAATCGGGTTCGATTGAAAGTCAAAGGTATCTGTGAAAATTTGCTCGAGGAAATTTTCTGTATACATATACTGATAGTTCAAACAGTCCTCTATAATTCTATAACATTCCAACATTCATCAGTTTATATGATAATCAGTGGCGTACGCAGAAATTTTTCAAGGGGGGGGGGGCCCAACTTCGTAAGGGGGGGCCCGCCATGGCACAAAAAATTTTTTATCACGCGAAAATATTTTTTCCCCGCCCCCCCCCTAAGAGTTTTTTCGTCTAAGGGGGGGGGGGGGGCGGGCCCCCTCGGCCCCCCCCCCCTGCGTACGCCACTGATGATAATGTTAGATATTTGATTGAAGTTATACATATCGGATTAAACTTTTGTTTCTACATTTAAGTCCGTTCTACATCACCATGTTAAAGATAAAGCACGATCCGGTCGTCTGAACAGATTCAAAGCTAGGACTTTGTTTGTCCATCTACATCAGAGGTGAAGAGATATGCTTAAAATTCTAATATTTTGCTTATGTGTGATGCTAACATTTTTTTTTTTAAACATTAATTTCCGAACGAAAGAGTTAATTTGATATTGTTTTAATTATTTAGGGATGAAGAAGCTAATGAATCATTTTTGCTTGGTAAACGAGATGTGTTATTGAATAATTATCAATCAGCATGTGATCATTTATCAAAAACATGTGAACGAATGTAAGGAATTGCCGTTTTTTTGTTTTCGACTTATATTCAACAAGTTTTTTTTTTTTAAGTGTTAAATTACGTGAAAGTGATACAGCACCTGAACTTGCTGAGCCTTACTTCTATTATGGTCAAGCATTACTTTATCTTGGTCTTAGTGAACAACAAGTATTCGGCAGTGATATTGTTAAAGGTGAATTTATAATAATTATTTTTTATGTAAAATTACACTTTTTGCACACGAATTTGGTCTTGAAGCTGATCGATTGCATTGTCGAGAAGTAATCATTCAATAGAGTTTCTATTAAAATAAACTTTTTTGATCTTGAGTGACTAATGTAATATCATAGAATTCTTTGCTAAAGTTATAGAAATCGTATCAATGATTAGAAGTTTAATTGTGCTTTCTCATTTATGTTTGTAGACACAGATAATGATGAAAATGAAAATATTGAAGAAGAAAATAATACAGAATCAAAAGAAGATGAAGATGGTGAAATAAAAGATGATGACAATGAAGAAGAAGAAAATGAAGATGATTCTATTCCAAATGATGAACATGTTAATGATCTTGAACGTGCTTTTGAAATTCTTGAATGTGCACATATGATATATTCAAAAATGTCTGAAACAAATCTAAATGATGTACATATTATCACACGTATAGCTGATATTCATGTTATGCTTGCTGATATTTGTAATGAAAATGGTGATCATGAAAATGCTCTATCACATGTACTTAAAGCTATTGAATTACAAGAAACAATAAATGAACAACAACGTTATCGTTTACTTGCTGAAAGTTATTATAAATTAGGTTTAATTTATGAATTAATACATAAGTTTTCAGATGCTGTCGATAGTTTTAATAAAGCTATTGATGGTATTCATCAAGCTATAAAACAATTCGATGGTGATGATAAAGAAAATGAACGTCAAGAACTTCAATCATTATTACCATCAATTGAACTTAAACGTAATGATGCACAAGCATCAATTGCTGATCAACATTTAATTGTTCAAGCAAGAAAAATTCTTTCAGGAACAGATAATACAACTGAAGTGAAAACAACTGATATTCCAGCTAAAGATATAACATTAAATGTTCGACATAAACGACCAGTTACTGAAACAGAAAATGATGATGAAACAAATAAGAAAGCTAAATTAGAATAAATTTTTGTCTTGTTAATATTGTAAATCTTAAATAGGAAATAAATAAAGCAAACAAATACTTTCTTGATTATTTCTTCTAGATGGATTTTAGTCATTTAGCTTTTGAATTTCAATGGGAACAATGTTTTTCTATAATAGACAAATGGAAAACAACAATGATAGATCATATAATAAATATTCATCAAGAAAAATCATCTGAAATTCAAATGTATAAAGATGAAGCAGAAAAAAATTTTTTTCATGAAAAAAAAAATTTTATTTTAAATATGAATGAATATTTTCAACATTCATGTATTCTATCATATGAAATAAATATATTTAAAAATAAATTAAATCAACTTAAAAAAAATATTATTCATCGACCATTACCATTACATATTGAAATAGAATCATATTCATCGAATAAATCAATCAGACTATATCGAATTTTTAATAAACAATTATTTAATCAAAGAAAAATTTCTGCAGAATATAAAATTCCTACACAATCAATTTATTTAATAGCAACATCAAATAATCAAATAATACTTGTTAATTATGAATTAAAAATTTTTTTATACGATAAATTAATTGGATTTATTGATGAAATAAGTATGTTAGATTATACAAATGAATATTTAAATGATATATGTTGGTCAATAAATTATAAAAATTTTCTTTTTCTTTGTGATTATTCATTATGGTCATTAGAAAATTTATTTTTAAAAAAACTTGCACATATTTCAAATAAAAAACATTTTTTAAATAATTTAACATGTTTTCATAATTATGTTTTTTTTATATATGATCAAGGTGAATTTATTGATCGATGGATAATACAACCAGAATGGAAATTAGATAAACGTTGGATTAAATATCATAATAATGATATTATATTATCAATTAATTCAAATAATGATTATTTAATTATTTATACAAATAATTCAATTCAATTATGTTCAGATAATTTAACTATACAATATTCAATTGATTTATCAAATCAAGAACATTTATATTCAAATTTCACATTTTTATCTTCATTTAAAATATGGTTATTTATTGATAAAGAAACTCAACTATTAAAATATTTTCATTTGACTAATCGAACAATTCAAACACTAGATCAGATATATATTAGAATGATTAGTCCTATGGGAGATAATGAATTAGCACTTGTTACAAAAGATGATTATCATTTACAAATAGTATCAATTTGATTGAGAAAAGATTTATTTTCTTTATTTTTGATACTTTAACTTTGAAAATATATGAATACATTATTTTAGATATATATATATAACTAAACATATATATGGCAAAAGCTACAATTACTATTTTATGTCCAAGTGGACATCGACGAAAAGCACAAATGACACCAAATAGCAATTTACTTCAAGTGAGAAATGAATGCAAACGATCGAGAATTTCTCTTTTTTTTCGTAATAAGAAAATGTTGAACACTAAAATAGAGATCATAGGACTCTTCGTACGCTCATACTATGGATAGAAAAATTTACCTCGTTTTTCTTTCCATCACATAGGATGTTGCTCGGATAGTGGTCAGATTTTTGCCATGAACGAAATTTCAGAATCCCATCCTTGAAAAGGACATTCGATCTTGACTGAAATCATTCTCAGTCAATTAATAAAAGAAATTAGAAGGAAGTTAAAAGAAAAGATTTCACGCTTGATTATGGTAGACTAATACAGGGTGTTCCAAAAGTCCGGTCGAAAAAAAAAAAATATAAATATCTTCATCATTGTTTAACTAAACTTCAAGGTTCATTTTCCTGTTGGACAGAGGAATGTTCAAAGTATTTTTTGGTATGCTTGGAGATTTTTGTTGAGGCTTGTAAAAAAAACTATCCGGTTTATTATGATGAGATTCAGGTTTTTTGCAACATTTTTTAATAAATAAAGTACTGCAAACCTGTTTCAAGGAGATATAAATATTTTCTAATATTGAAATAATGTAGATGAATTCCTCTTTCATATAAAAAAAAATTATTATTTGGTTTTG